TCATGTCCTTCGGTTCTGGGAGCCATTTAGTTGGATGTCTTTGCACCTTTTTCCAGTTTGTTGATTTGCTTTTAAGATATGGGCACCATTCGGGCGCCTGACAGCTGGGTGGACAGCACTTCGGATTCGTAGTCCTGAGGTTCTGAGTTCGATCCCCGGTGGAGGCGGAGACAAATGGGCAAAATGTTTATTTCACCCTGATGCCCCTGTTATCTAGCAGTAAATAGGCACCTGGGAGTTAGACAGCTGCTACGGGCTGCTTCCTGGGGATGTGTAACAAAAAGGAGGCCTAGTCGAGAACCAGGCCGCGGGGACGCTAAGCCCCGAAATCATCTCAAGATAACCTCAAGAAGATAACCATACAACCTCTGCATATTCCAGCTTTGGTCTAACAAAAGCCGTGAATTTTTTTTGAGTATTTCACTATCCATGTATTTAAAAACAATTCTGAAGTTAGAATGATTACTGATGAAGGCTGTATGGATTGTGTGTTCCCAGTAACTGGAGTTTCCAGCATAATACTAAGCCCTGGAGAATACCCAAGAATATAGAAAAAAGAAATGTAGTTGTAATATTCAAGAAAGAGGAAAGACTCAAATCACTATATTGTAGAGCAGCATCTCTTACATGCATTCCATGCAAAATTCTGGAAAAGGTAATCAGGAAAAGCTAGGAATAGTGGAATACGTGGAGAGTAAATTTTAAAATAAATGGATCTCACTGATGTAGAGCCAAAATCATGTCTGATAAACTTGATGGAATTCTATGATAGGTCTACCAAAATGGGGAAAAAAACAAAGAATAGCTCAAATGCCAGATAGCTTTTAATATAGTTATTCACAAAAGAATAATGCACAAAATAACGAAACACTGGAATAATGGGAAAAAAGAGACTGAACTGGGTAAGAAAGTACCTGATGGTCAGGAAACAAAGAGGCATAGCAAGAAAAGATATGTTGAACTGGAAAGGGAGTGAAAATGGGACCTTCATGTCAGTGTATCAGTACCTCTGCTCTGTCTGATTTATGTTAATGCTGACTTGTCAGGGAAAAGAGCCTCTTGTCAGTGTTTCCAAGTGATACACATTTAATGCAATTAAGAACTGAAAATTAGAGTGCTGCAGGAAAACCTTTACTATTTCCAGGAGTAGGCACACAAGAGGCTCTTAAAATTAAATCCAGATAAGTGTAAGCCTCTGCAAGAAAATAAGAGAGAAAAAGACTTAAGTTAATACTAGTATAACACTAACATCAAACTAATAGCAATGCTATTAGTTCTACAAACAACAAAGTCTCGTACTGCATGCAGATTAGTTTTCTGTATGTAGATTCTCAGCTCCTTGAAGAATACAGGAATTCCCAAGATGCTAGTTTCTAAGATATGAAGTTCAAATAATGATAATCACATACAAGTAGGAAGCAGCAAGTCTTTGTTTCTAACAAATTATGACGTCACTTTTCTTGTGATATACATTGGTTTAAAAAAAATTAAAACAATTTAAACTTGTTTCCCATATTCGGGGACAGGAAGCCTGTTATGCTTTTTCAGGCCCACCTAGGCCAATAGCTGACATTCCACAGGATGCATAATAGTTATCAGTGTTTCCAAGTGATACACAGTTATTTATTTTATTATTTTATTTATTTATTTATTTATTTATTTATTTATTTATATACAAGAAGGTACATTGGGTTTGCGAGAATACATAGCATAGTACAGAAATTGCACTCTTGTAAAGCCACTAGTACGCGCAGTTAATGCAATTAAGAACTAAAAATTAGAGTGCTGCAGGAATAATACTCATAATAGTTGCCTAACTCTTGGGTAACTACCTGTATTATAGCTAGGTGATGAGGTAAAAGGAAACATTATCTAAATACAGTACTTCTGTCCTGCCACAGGAATTAAACTCAGGACAATATGGCTGCGACCTGCCTGCACTGACCATGCTTCAAGGGGAGTAGCTGTAAATTCTAAAGAGACCTCTTAATGAGATACAGATAAAAATCTAGTAAACTGGATATGAGTAACAATTGTATAAGTAGAATCTCCATATTTCTGTCCCAGAGCAGCAAATTACCAAAGCATTAATTAATCATGATTTGTTGTTGTTTTAGATTCAGCTACACGGAACAAAAGTTGCAAGTAGCACGGGCTGTAGTGAGCCCGTAGTGGATTTACCTGGCACAGGAGCGGGACTATAACTGCAGTGTAATCCTCAAGATTATTTACAAATTAATTTTAAACGGGAGTACTTCACCCATCCTCTAGTGAAGTTCAGTCAAGCTCCGGTCGTCCTCAAATACTGCAATTACTATAGTGTATTCGTAATTTTATTCGTGTTGTGTAATGAAAAGAGGGGGTTTTCAAATATAAATTAATGTCATTATATATATTATACTTTTGTGTACAGTTAAGCCTAGGATAGGTTAAATCCTTTGGTCCTATTAGCTATCGCTTATAATTTACAGTATGCACGAAATATTTTATAGGTTGATAGTGTTTCTTATATAGAAAATGAGAGAAAGCATTGTTTGTGAAAATATCATGTGTAGTGTTTTTTACTCATAAACATGGGAGTGACTGTGAAATTAACAATCATTTGGCCAATGTTTGTGGGTTTGTACTGAACTTGTGCAGTATTTATTGTCATTGTGTTTGTACTGAACTTGTGCAGTATTTATTGTCATTGTGTTTGTACTGAACTTGTGCAGTATTTATTGTCATTGTGTTTGTACTGAACTTGTGCAGTATTTATTGTCATTGTGTTTGTACTGAACTTGTGCAGTATTTATTGTCATTGTGTAATTACGTGTGTAATTACCTAGCAGACCACGTGGCACAGTGGCGAGACACTCGCCCGTGTTTCGCAAACGATGGTTGGGGTTCCTGTCATTGCCGGGAAGGATTGACTAGGCGCCATTTGCAGATGATGAGTCACAATAAAGTGGCTGAAGAAAGTTGATCAAACTACACTAGAAGATGAAAAGACGACGATGTTTCGGTCCATCCTGGACCAGCATCAAGTCGATTAGGCGCCAAGGCGCCATTCCTTAATCTCTGTTCATCCAGCAGTGAATGGGTTGATAACTCTTGTATATAAGAAATAAGAATAAAGGTAACTGCAGAAGGCCTATTGCCCCATACGAGGCAGCTCATATTTATAACCACCCACTCCCACTCATATACATGTCCAACCCACGTTTGAAACTATCGATCGACCCCATCTTCACCACGCCACGTGGCAACTGGTTCCACAAATCAACAACCCCGTTACCAAACCAGTATTTACCCAGGTATTTCCGAAATCTAAACTTATCCAGTTTATACCCATTGTTTCGTGTCCAGTCCTGTGTACCCTATTAATATCCCTTGTGTTAGGACTATTCATCCACTTGTACCTTTAGCATGTCACCCCTAACTCTTCGCCGTTTCCAGTGAATGCAATTTAAGCAATTTAAATTTTTTTCATATGACAGGTTTCTAATTTAGGGAATTAACTTTGTCATCCTACGCTGGACACGTTCTAGTGAGTTTATATCCATTTTATAGTACGGCGACCAAAACTGTACTGCATAATCTAAAGGGGGCCTAACCAGAGCAAGATATAGCTGAAGAACAACACCAGTTGTCTTGTTACTAATGCTTCGAATAATAAATCCCAGTGTCCTATTTGCCTTATTACAAACATTTATGCATTGATTTTTTGGTTTTAAATTCTTACTAATCATAACTCCCAGATCCCTTTCACTATCCGACTTCGTAATCTCAACACCATTTAGTTTGTATCGTGTAACTATCGCCATTACCTAGCCTCAAAACCTTACATTTGTCAGCATTAAAGTGCATCTGCGAATCGTTTGACCATTTCAAAACCCTATTTAGATCGCCTTGAAGTGATAGTGAGACTTTTTCCATGTATATTATATAATATATATATATATATATATATATATATATATATATATATATATATATATATATATATATATATATATATATATATATATATATATATATATATATATATATAATATTCATGGAAAAAGACTGAGGGCCTTTTGCTGAAAGAAAAACAGCAATTCGGAGGGTCTTTGGTGTGAGACGTGTGCTGGTTGCTGACATTGGCGTTGCTAATAGGAAGTTACCAGCATGGGGAGCTGCTACAGCTATAAGTCGGGCAGTCAGTGTCATGTGGTGGTGGTGCAGCTTTTAGGCATGTTGCAGCTGATTAGTCTACAATGGGGCCATTCCAGCTGGATTGCTTGTGAGCTTCAGAAGTTGGTGGTTGGAGTTCTGGTGCTTCATGAGAGACCCATTTGGTGGTGCAGTCTGTACTCACCTAGTTGTGCTGGCAGGGGTTGAGCTGTGACCCTTTGGTCCGGCCTCTCAACTGTCAATCAACTGGTGTACAGGCTCCTGAGCCTACTGGGCTCTATCATATCTACATTTGAAACTGTGTATGGAGTCAGCCTCCACCATATCACTGCCTGGGATCTTGTACCCCCTGTCTGTTGACCTAAGTAATCGTGTGGGATTTCATTCACTAGGTTGTCAAATGCCATTGAAGAGGACAGAAACACTGGTACAGCAATGGCTTGTTTTCACTGTGAAAGATTGAGTATATATACAATATATTGAGAGAAAGGGAATATATATATATATATATATATTTATATATATATATATATATATATATATATATATATATATATATATATATATATATATATATATATATATATATTGAATAAATAAATAAAAGTGTAGTTACAGGATAAGAACTACGCTCGTGGTGTCCCGTCTTTCCAGCGCTCTGTCATATGAGTAATTAATTTCTGGTACTGAAAGCAAAAGGAGTAATTCAAGTTAAAATAAAAAAGGACAGTATCTCAATAAAACAAATATTCGTATGAATTCACATATTAAAATATACAAAATAGGTATATATATTAAGAGTCGTTACCCACCATGAGCGTTGTTGACTTACTTGACTGACCGTGCGGCGAGGCAGTTGGGCTGGGGCGCCGCTGCATGTACTCTTTAATCTCTACCACCTTCCTCTACCACAGGTATATTACAGTGTATGTTAACCCGGCCACCCGTAGGCTCGGTGTACCGAGCACTAGTGTAGGATTATTGTAGCCCAAAAGCTGGTTTACAATTGTATTGAATAAAGTTGGTTTGTGGCCACGTTCATCAAACCAAAGGTGTTTTGATTGGAGCTATACCGGTGTTGACTAGGCTCAGGCTGGCTAGGGTTGTGTTGTACTTTGTGTCTACTAGTCCAAGTGTTAGATGGCAGGTAACTACAGGGAGACGTCCAAGAAAGCATTAAGGGACAGAATTTCTGAAGGGAAGGTAGAGCGCCCTCCGTCTGGTGGACTGGTGGTGGCTGCGGCCATCACTTGCTCTTGGCATATTTAACATTATAATTTCTATTTTTGTTCTGTATGTCAATCTTGTTTCTCTGGTTATTGAAGATTAATCAAATGTTACTTGACAAGCTGCTAATGCTGTATCAATCTGATTCTCAATTGTTCCAAGCTATATATGAAGGTGAAGGTTCACAGTAACCTTGTACCCAGGAGTACAGTACCTGTACTCGCATACATAAGAACATAAGAATAAAGGTAACTGCAGAAGGCCTATTGGCCCATACGAGGCAGCTCCTATCTATAACCACCCAATCCCGCTCGTATACATGTCCAACCTATGCTTGAAACAATGAAGGGACCCCACCTCCACCATGTTACATGGTAATTGATTCCACAAATCAACAACCCTGTTACCAAACCAGTATTTACCCAAGTCTTTCCTAAATCTAAACTTATCCAATTTATATCCATTGTTTCGTGTTCTGTCTTGTGTTGATAGTTTTAATACCCTATTAATATCCCCTTTGTTATGTCCATTCATCCACTTGTAAACCTCTATCATGTCACCCCTAGCTCTTCCCCTTTCCAATGAATGCAACTTAAGCTTTGTTAATCTTTCTTCATATGAAAGATTTCTAATTTGGGGAATTAACTTGGTCATCCTACTCTAGACACGTTCAAGTGAATTTATATCCATTCTATAGTACGGCGACCAAAACTGTACTGATAATCTAAATGGGGCCTAACCAGAGCAAGATATAGCTGAAGAACCACACCAGGTGTCTTGTTACTAACGCTTCGATTAATAAATCCCAGTGTCCTATTTACCATATTACGAACATTCATGCATTGATCCTTTTATTTATGCATATACAAGAATGTACATAAGGAATGTGAGGATACAAATATGGTAATTACAGTCTTGTAAAGCCACTAGCACGCGCAGCGTTTCGGGCAGGTCCTTAATCTAAGAAAATTTTAAGGAGGTAAATACTTGCAAAATTTATAGACAAAAAAATAACAGATTACATGAAATGGAAAAAAAAAAAAAAAAAATTTGAGAGAAAATTGTAGGTACAGTATATTAAAGCACATAGGTAGCTAAGATTGATTACAATGACAGCTTAAAATGGTAGTTGACAACAAATTGGTAGGCACAATACAGCAGAAACAATATAAGATTGATTGCAGTGACAGCTTGAATGGTAGTTGACAAAAATTGGTAGTCACAATACAGCATATGGCTAGCACATAAAAGAAGACAGCAATGAACACAATGATAAGGTTGTTTGATATTACATAAAAATTAGGAGATTGGGTAACACCAGGTACAGAGCAAATTTAAAGCTCAGTGTAGGAAACTAAGATGAAGAAGTTAGGTACTTTTTGGTTTTGCTTTTAAATAAGGCAAAAGTTTTACAGTTTTTCAATTCACTAGGGAGTGAGTTCCATAGACTAGGTCCCTTAATTTGCATAGTGTTTACACAGATTAAGTTTGACCCTGGGGATATCAAAGAGATATTTATTTCTGGTGTGGTGATAATGGGTCCTATTACATCTGTCCAGGGAGAGTTTCAGAGCATGGTTTGCATTTAAGAACAGGGTTTTGTAAATGTAGTTGACACAAGAGAATGTGTGGAGGGAGTTAATATTTAGCAAGTTTAGGGATTTAAACAAGGGAGCTGAGTGTTGTCTGAAAGCAGAGTTAGTTATTATTCTGATAGCAGATTTTTGCTGTGTGATGATGGGCTTAAGGTGGTTTGCAGTGGTAGACCCCCATGCAGATACCATAATTAAGATAGGGGTAGATTAGTGCATAATATAGTGAGAGGAGAGCAGAGTTAGGAACATATCTGATTTTGGAGAGTATACCAACTGTCTTAGAGACTTTCTTAGTTATGTGTTGAATGTGGGTGCTGAAGTTGAGTCTCTTGTCTAGGAATAGGCCAAGAAACTTGCCATCATTTTTATTACTGATGTTAATGTTGTCTATCTGTAGCTGAATTGCATTTGATGATTTGCTTCCAAATAAGATGTAGTAAGTCTTTTCGATGTTTAATGTTAGTTTGTTCGTTGACATCCATAAGTGGACTTTTTTTAATTCATTATTCACAACATTATTTAGTGTATGTGGGTTGAGGTTTGAATAGATAAGGGTAGTATCATCAGCAAACAATATAGGTTTGAGAATATTAGAGACATTAGGCAGACATTTTTGTTTTAAATTCTTAGTAATCATAACTCCCAGATCCCTTTCGCAATCCGACTTCGCAATCTCAACACCATCTAGCTCGTATCTTGTAACCATCATCATTACCTAGCCTCAGAACTTTACGTTTATCAGCATTAAACTGCATCTGCCAATCTTTTGACCATTTCCGTGGTCCGTTTACCAGTCTCCGTGGTGTAGTGGTAAGACACTCGCCTGGCGTTCTGCGAGCATAGGGGGTTGAGCTTCAGCTATTTGATTCAGCTTCTCAATTTTTAATCGTCTAGTTTACAGATTCCCGAGCCTATCACGCTCTTATCAAATCTACGTTTAGAACATAAGAACTGCCGAAGGCCTATTGCCCCATACGAGGCAGCTCCTATTTATAACTACCCAATCCCACTCGTATGCATGTCCAACCCACCTTTGAAACAATCGAGGGACCCTACCTCCACGTTACGCTGGTAATTTGTTCCATAAATCAACAGCCCTGTTACCGAACCAGTATTTACCCAAGTCTTTCCTAAATCTAAACTTATCCAATTTATACCCATTGTTTTGAGTTCTGTCTTGTGTTGATACTTTTAATACCATATTAATATCCCAATTTGTTATATTTTTCATCCACTTGTAAACCTCTGTCGTGTCACCCCTAACTCTTTGCCTTTCCAGTGAATGCAATTTAAGCTTTGTTAATCTTTCTTCATATGAAAGGTTTCTAATTTGGGGAATTAACTTTGTCATCCTACGCTGGACACGTTCAAGTGAATTTATATCCATTCTATAGTACGGCGACCAAAACTAAACTGCATAATCTAAATGGGGCCTAACCAGAGCAAGATATAGCTGAAGGACAACACCAGGTGTCTTGTTACTAACGCTTCGATTAATAAATCCCAGTGTCTTGTATGCCTTGTTACGAACATTCATGCATTGATCTTTTGGTTTTAAATTCTTAGTAATCATAACTCCCAGATCCCTTTCACAATCCGACTTCGCAATCTCAACATCATCTAGCTCGTATCTTGTAACTATTATCATTAACTAGCCTCAAAACGTTACATTTGTCAGCATTAAACTGCATCTGCCAATCTTTTTGACCATTTCAAAACCCTATTTAGATCAACTTGAAGTGATATAGTCGTCTTGTGTGTTAATTTCCCTACCGATTTTTGTATCGTTGACAAATTTGCAAATGTTGCTACTCAAACTTGAATATACTGTACTGTATATTATCATTTATATATATTGTAAACAACAGAGGTCCCAGGACAGAGCCTTGAGGCACTCCACTTACAACATTTTCCCACTCTGACTTACCCCATTTATACTAACTCTGTTTCCTTTGGTATAGCCATGCCCTAATCTAACTTATTATAGCACCCCCAATATCATGAGCTTCTATCTTTTTAATCACTTTCATGTGGTACTGTATCAAAAGCTTTAAGTCAAGGTACGCATCAGAATCCTTGCCACTAACAACTGCCTCAACAATGGTGTAATAAAAAGATGGCAAATTTGTTAAACATGAACGGCTATTTGTAAAACCATGTTGCGATTCGTTTATTAATTTGTTTTTCAAGATGATGACATTGTATTTGCAATTATTGATTCAAGTACCTTTCCCACAATAGGGAGCGAAGGGAACTATCAGGAGAAAGTGCTAAGCCATTACGACTATATAGCACTGGGAAAGGATCAGGATAAGGATTTGGGATGGAACGGGAGGAAGGGATGGTGCCCAACCACTTGGACAGATGGGGATTGATCGCCGACCTGCATGATGCGAGACCGTCGCTCTACCGTCCACCCCAAGTGGTTGGGCTTCCCACAAATAGACGTTAGGCTAATTCGCCGATAGTTTGACGCAAGTGATCTGTCTCCTTTCTTAAAAATTGGTACCACATTAGCAACCTTCCATGACTGTGGCACTCTGCCTGACTCTATTTATTTATTAGATATGGTAGACAGTGGCTTGCAAAGCTCCTCTTTGCATTCTTTGAGCACCCTGGCAAACACTTCATCCGGCCCTGAGGATTTGTTTGGTTTGGGTTTTACTATTTGTACATCCTCCCTGGTATTTGCTAAACTAGTCAACCTGTCCTCGTCCCCACCCACATAGACTTGTTCGGCTGAAGGCATATTGTAAGTTCCTCTCTAGTAAATATAGATATAAAATATTTATTAAAAATACTTACTGGAAACCTGGTCGAGGACTGGTCCGTGGGGATACTAAGCCCCGAAATCATCTTGAGATAACCTCAAGAAGATAAGCTGTATCCTAGGGAGGGTCAGTAGCTGGCCGGAGGGAGGAGGGTGGGG